GTTCCCTGAAAGATACGTGGCCGAGAAATCGCGCTATTATTTATTCGATCTCTGTATACCAGTCGGCCTCCATATTTAACTTGACTAAGTTTTGGGCCAATATTACGGCGAGGGTGAAATCCTTTAGAAATCCTAGATCAAGTCCTCTAATAATGACGGGTTGAGGATGGAGGACAGAATTTTTATGAACATGGCATTAGCCATTGGCATTATTGCAATGAGCAGTCTTTTAGGCCGAAATCGAACATTAACCCTTGTGAGGGGTTTGAAGGGCGCCTTTATAGTTACTTTTTCAGACAATCGAGCGGCCTTTGAGACTGTTACAAATATGAAGATCGTCAAAGAGTCTTTGAAGAGTACTATGAACGATCTTAATGAGATTAGGATAATAAAACATTAGAACACCATGCGTTGTACCACACAGACTATTTATACAAAAATACTACTTATATTATATACAGGCCATTCAGCGAAAATAGATTGATCCTTCGCCAACTCTCACCTATTGAATTCGATTATCGGAGCCCAACGCCACCTACACATCATAAACGAGTTGCTTCGTAAGTGGTGTTTACATGGGGATATTTTACAGGCAACTTTTATTTGAAAGCAACAATCGCCTGGTGTGAACGGCCTTTCAACTTATGGCTTCCAATGAAGTTGGGAAGAAACCAACTTTTGATTCAACTAATCGCCTCTAAAATTGCCTGTCAAATCGCCTCATGTGAATACCGTTCGAGGCTCGCGGAGCTTTTATACAACTCCACTCTGGATATTGTAGCAAGTTAAACCGTTCACTCTAATCCTCCTCTTAATATGCCCACTCACATCAGCTCATCTAAAATCCCTCTGCCTACGGCCAAAACACATTGGATGTGGCCATTTCTTAAGTCTGCCGTTCCATGAGATTTAAGACAACATGAAGTCGTTTCACTGACTTCTACAGAATTTATTAAGCTGCTACAACAACAAAAAAACTAGAGAACGATTTTCGTTAAATTCCCCTAGCAGTATTCAGATATAAAACTAACAAAATGTTCTAGTTCCATTTTCAATAAAATAAATACTAAGAATTTTTATACTATATAAATAAAGAAACTGAATAAAAATCCAGTTTATTCGTTTTTAAAAATCCGGTTCACTGCATATTCGATGCTCCTTAAAATGTCCCCGTTTCGTTGAGTAGATACACTGTTTTGACTTGAAGCTTATTTAAAAAGAAACAATATTTTGTTTAAGTTTTTTATATTTGATTTAAAACGAAGCAGTCACTTCTTAAAAGCTTTTATATTTACACTGGCATAGATATCCAGATACGCACATACATAACTACATACAACTTTATTACGCAGCAACCTGTATTAAAAAAAATGTACAGCTGCAAATGTTTTCCCTTTGCGGTAACACAAAACCTACGCAACAATCCAGCTATTGCTTCACAAAACATCCCGTTCTGCAAAATACATATGTAGTAGTACTACGGACGAGACAAGGGCAACGTACGAGATTTAATGCGTCTGTGATTTGATTGGATTTCTAAATGGCACACATTTGCCTGCTTAACTGATAGAGACTCTCTTGTTCACTTATGTAAATATGTACATTGTAAAGGACAATAAGAAAGCACAAAAAATTTCTTATCAAATAAAATGGGTTCGCAAATGAAGGACAAACACACACAGCAAAGTAGAAACAAAAGGTAGCAAGGAAAGCAAGTACACATGGAAGAGAAAAAAAAAACAAAAACAAAGAAAAAAATTGGTACATGAAAAATAAGTAGGCGATTTTCGTTGAAATAAGTAAAAGTACGTATGAGTATAAGAAAAAATTAGAGGTAAAATGAAAAAGATAATATACCAGCCTAAGTTAAGCTGAGCCAAACTAAGCGCCCACGTGTAATGAACTAAATAAAAGGCAAATCAAAAGGTTAGTGGCCATGTGTGCACACTGAGTATAGGAAAAAAGGCAAAACAGAAAAACAAACAAAAACAATAACAAGTTAATGAAATCACTAAAAGCAAAACTAACGAGCCTTATAAGGTAAGATATTTTTGTTCATATTATTTGTTATGCAGTTAGTTGTGGGAGTGTGTGCAAGATATTAAGGCAGAACCGTTAGAGAACTGAGTAAGGTATGTCTATATTAACTGTCGCTGCAACCACTGGATAATATTTACATATGTGTGTATGTATGTACTATGCTTTCGTAAAGAGCTATTAAATTCTCGATCATATGCGTTGTACAATTTGGCATTTTCTTTGCAACAACATACACTGCTTGAGATTTGAAAGGGAGAAATATTTTGAGACCTTCTCTATGATAAAGCATAGGTAAATAGCAGAGGAACTCTTTAAGGATCCGCATCTAGAAGAAATATCGCATACAAAAGTACTTGGTATTTTTGGTATCCGGAAATAATACCGAAACTCCAAAAAGTCCCCTAAAAGCTCGAAATATTCCGAACAATATAACACGAAAAATTGCGAAAGTACTTCAATTTTCACCGGTGCAGTACTAAAGGTCTAATTAGAGAGTTGCCACCCGTTTGAAAATTGTAGTTTAAGTAAATTGATAAGATAAAGTAAATATTACAATAAAGAAATAAAGAGGTTTAAGAAGGCTTACAGCCAAAAATATTTTTGTGTGAGGTTGCCACCTGTTTGAAAATTTGATTTGATTTAATTGATAATATTAATAAAATATTGCAATAAAAGGTTAAGGAAAGTCTACTGCCAAAAATATTTTAGAGGAGGGTTGCCACCTCTTTGTAAAATGTTAGTAAATTTATAAATTGATATAAGACGATTGATATAATATTACAATACGGGGACTAACCTAAGGAGGTTTAAGCATGTTTACTGCTGAAAATATGTTTGTAGCGGGTTGCCACCTATTTGAAAAATTTGTTTGAAAATCTCACTTCATAAAGCTCTTCAAATCTACATATTGTATTTTTATACATTTTTAAGGCGCAGTGAAGCACGCCGGGTATTTGCTAGTTTTAAAGAAAAACTTTAAATTTCAGTTTTCTCAGTTTTATATGAGAATTTTTTTTTTTCGAAATAAATTTGACTTCTGGGTTGCTGTGAACTCTCTTGAAGAAATAAATATGCGAGAATTTTTTCTTAAGAGCTGCATTCTGATTTAAGAAATTTTGAATTTCTTGAAAGCTGCATACAGCTCTTAACAAAAATATTACTAAATAATAATGTTTTCTTGTTTTTTTATAGAACGAAATAAATTTTTATAAAAATAATAATTAATATGAAATAATATAAAAATAAATTCCAAACTTGTGTGTGTCGTATAGTTATGATAAGCGCTATACCTTTACATTTTTGTAATGCATTTAATCTTAAAATATTGCAGCTTGCTAGAAATTTCCCAAAAATATAGACAAGCAGAAACTTAAATAAGTTTTGTTGGGCTTAAGTAGGCGTACATAGCAACTCTCCAGTGATCGCGGATCCAGCCCACAAAAAATTCAATTTTTTATTCATAAAAATGTGTGGTGGACGCTCGAAGCGTTAAGAATTCGACAACCACATTGGTATTGTAAAATTCGTCATGCGAAATTTTGTTTACGAGATATCAGTAATGCTGGATTTCCACTAGGCATTAAATGGCGAAAATTACAAATGACAAAGTTGGGCATTGAAAAAATAATCGTGTCATTACATTAAAAAAAATAGTCATTAAGTTCATTGCCACATGGCATTTTTTTTTAAATGGCATACATTTTTTGTCATTTCAATGCCTAGTACAAATTCAGCATAACTCAGTAACAACTGTGCCTTAAAATATGCAAAAAGAAATCATAAAAGGTGATATATGAACTGAGGTGAGTGAGGGACGTAAAATATGTATATCTTTTGGTTGCGTTGCATATTTTTAGGCACATTTTTTCTGCACTGTCCTTCTAAAATTTTAACTTTGATTACTTTTGTGAGGTTTTCAAGTTACAACAATTTTAAAAATCTACCAAATTTTCGCTTAAGTCATTCAACAAATTGCTGCTTCGTATGAATAAAGTTTCTAGTTACCTTCATCACTAAACCCTAACAGCTTAGAACTCCATTAGAATATATTACATGGCAAAATATCATATATCCAACGAATCGCCGTAGCCTAAACATTTCAGAAACTTCGTCACTTTAACAACAAGCTAACTGTTATTGTAACTACGAAACTGCTTACATTACATTAAACGAGTTTCCCTTCCTCGTCATCATACCAAATTCACAGAGCTTTGCTATAATGTACTACAACACATAATGAAACAAACGCATGAAAGCTTCACAGTTACGAAAACAGTTACTTCAAACATTTGCCAAATTACTCTTACAGCTTGTTCCATTTTCATACTAAATATAAAGTAATTTGAAGCCTAAGGACATTTTCGTCAGCCTGATTGTACAATATTAATTCATTTGTGTGTATGTGTGTGTGTGTGTATTCGTGCGTAACTGTAGATAGAAGTGCGGGTCGTGGGAATATGAACACACTCCATGTTGAGATACTTGCCTTTGCTATAAATGAGCACTTCAATCTTAAACCAAAACACTCAGTCTCCCCTTTACAAAGCCTAAGAGCTTTAAGAAGTTGCATATAGCTCAAAGCAAAAACCTTTTAAAGTTTGCACTGTGTTTGTGTATATGTTCAATTAGCTGATATTAATGGTTGTTTTTATAAACTTAAGCTTAAGTTGCACAAGTTTTTTTTAGCAAGAAAAATTGTTTTTATTTCTACTGGGTTTTAATTTTATTTTATTTTTTACTACAAACCATACATTTTACTAAACATACAAACGCACAACTGGAGGGGAGACAAGAAAATAAACAATGAAAAAGCACAAACAGGCATCAAACAACACACACAAAATTTGAGTGGATCACATTGCCAAAGGCCTTTTGGTGCACTTGTGGGTATTTGTTTTTATTTTAAGACTCTACGCATAAGCATAAAAATATGACATTACTTTGTATTTAGTTGCACTCACCTGTTGAGTATCTGGGACCATTACTTATATCAGCACCGATACCGCTATATGAGGATAAATGATGGCTGGAACCTCCGGTGCCCGAGACAACAGCTATTTCGTCCAGCTCATGTCCCGGGGAGGTACCAGCCGACACAAGACGCGTCGATGATGTCGCTGTATTGCCTTGTGAATGCTTGCGACCGCGTAATGAGAGTACCAGCCTTTTGGCTGTGGACATCCCCGTTGGGCGCAAACGACGACACTGCAAAGAAGAGAGAAATGTTAATGTTAAAATTTGTTGCTTAGAGATAATAAAAAATATCTGGGCACCAAACGGTAAAACGGAGAATATAAGTCTAGGTAGAATATTTTAATTTGGGGAGGTGTCAGCCGAGCTGGCTGAGTATTTAGAGATGCATACTATCACCGCGTAGTATCTGCGTTCGATCACTCGTAGGAGAAACATCTATTTAAAATAGAATAAATTTTTTTCTAACAACAGTCGCGCATAGGGGTATTTGAACGATTTAGGCGGCCAAGAACCAATTTGACAAAATTTCGGAGAAAACTTAAAAAATTAGTTACTTTCGATAGAGAACATTCCAAATAACATTTCCCAGTACCCTTCACTTTTCACTAACTTGCACAGCGAACGCTCACCGTTGACCGGAAACAGAATATTCTAACGCTGCTTATAAATAAATTTTCCCTCTCTAGAAGGATCGTGACGGTTTTAAGTTAATATTTTGATTACTGCATTATATTCTTAAAAAGTAGTGATGGATCTGCATACAGACCGTAATAATGCATATAAGGGTAAATTTTTTTAAATCATTTTATTAAGCAAAAGTTCAATTTAAATGTAACGAAAATAGCGGTTTTCAACGAGTATTTTTTTGTTAATTTTTGTGAATATTAAGGAATTTGTTGTATCCCCGGGAGAGATCGCGTTATTATTCTTTGTTCAATTGAAAGCTTAGTAATTTGGCTAATATAGAATATGAATCCATTTAATTTAACAAATAAATAGTTTTCGAGATATTAGCAAAAGTCATGTTTTCTATGACCTTTCGGTCCTGTTGCTAAAAATCTGCGGGAATGTAAGGCGAACCCTACTATGTTACATACTTGGGAATAAACATTTGTTTTCCTTTACATTGGTGTTATATAAGTGATGATTAAAGAAATAGTTTTGGGTATACAAGCGTTTAAATTTAGATAAATGTCTATTTAGATAAAGCTACGATATTTCAGTAAATATTGTATCCAAATTGTTAAAAATTAGTATGTAAAGTAAAATTTTGGAACAAAATAGGATTAATATTAAAGTTTTAGAAAATGGGTGTGGCCCCGCCCACTTATGATGAAATGCTCTATATCAGTATCCGCTTCACTAATCCGTACCAAACTCGGTATGAGCCTTGCTTAGGCTAAAAATTCTTGAAATCGGGCGATAACCACGCCCACTTCCCATATAACGGTAATTTACAGAAACGCGAAAACTGCAATAAATCAATAACTACTGAAGCTAGTTCACTCTAAATCGATTCTTGGAATAACCTCTTAGCATTAATTACAATTATTATAATTTTTTGGATAATGGGCGTGGCGCCGCGCACTTTTAACCACAAATGTATATCTCGGTAACCGATTTATCAATTTGTAGCAAACTCGGTGCACTTGGTATAGAAAAGCAATGCGTTGAAAATACAAAAACTCCGATACTTCAGTAGTTGAGGACGCTAATTTACTCCAAGTTAATACTTACAAAGTTCTCTTAACAAAAATAAGACTGTTATTATTACAAAAATGTAGTTTTAGCTACGTAATAATTACCGCAATATTGCAGACTTGTTGCTTTCCTGACGACATGTTGCTGATGTTCAACTTAAACTTTTCTAAAATGTTGCAGAAATTGCGCAGTAAAAATTTGTATGTTGCTTTTGATTTGCCAAACTGATTGCCAAAATTTTGTTCGGCCAAATTTTCGCGTAGAACGTGATACTCTTTCATAAAAGAGTAACACTGTCGCATCAATTGCACCTCGAATACACCCATTTCTTACCTATACTGTGATACATATTTGAATTATTTAATTCCTTTAATTAAAGTTGAATTTGATTTTTTAAACCCTGGAAGGTTCCTTAGAGATAAAGCCTTTTCAAACCCATTTCCATTGATACCCATATTGCAGCAATTCGTTTAACTGATTGAACAACATTTTTTAACAGGTGGCAACTCTGTTAATGTTTTAACCTATAATTACGCGATTTTAAACATTTACAATTCTATATGTCATAGCACGTCCTTTCTAAACATTTCGAGTGTAGTATTCGGAAATTTACTGCAAAAAATTAAAAAAATATATTTTTCTTAGAGTTCAAAATTTCGGCAATAAAAAATAGGTCTCCTCTTTTTATCGATAAGGAATGAAATAAAAATATTTCACGCCCAAAAACATATTGAAATATAAGTTGTGCATGTCATGACTACGGTGACCATATTAATAAGATCCGAATACGGGGAAAAACATTCCAAATTTTTTCCACAACAGCTTACAGGTCTTAAAGCCTTCTTCAATGTATTAGCCCTGAAACAGTATCCTTATAGTAACATCACAAATTTGTAGGATAAGTTTCTCGAGATTTTTATCCCGTAAAATTCGTTAAAAAAAAACTTATTTAAAGTTTAGTATAAGGTACAAGGTCGCTAAGGCTTACCATTAATTGTTGGCAATTTTTTTGTTGTCGTACTCTATTATACTCAATTTTAATGAGTTTCAAAACTGCAAACCAATTTTTTTCTAAAGATTCTAATGAAAAGGTTTGAAATTTTGGCAAAACATTGCAGAATTAACTTTTCTAGTTTTTTGCGCAAAGTTGGAAATTTGGTATTATTTGGTTTTTATTTATTAAAAGTGCTTTACTTTCATAAAATAATTACTAAACATTAAATAAACAAAGGAAAAATAGCCAACACTTACTAAAATGTCGAGTCCTAATTTCTATTTTGGTCACTGTATGAATTCCTCGATTGGAATCACAGGGATTTAGATTAGAAAATAACAACTGTTTATGGAGCAAATTACGATCATGTACGAATATGGGACAAATATAGGCCAAATACAGGACATTAAAAGAAATACAGAACATTGTAAAAAATAAATAAATTACCAGAACAATGGGTCAAAAAAAGAGGACTGACTCGTATAATATAGGACGGATGGTCACCGTAGTCATGACCCATACGTAAATAAGAAATACTCTTTCTTTCAGCTGCCTTCAACTTCGATATTGAATCGCGCTAAAACAAGTAAGCTATCAAACATATTAAATACCCTAATAAAAAAACAAAAGTAAACCCAAGATAATTAGCTGCGAATATGCCAAAACCTATGGCACAAGGAAGTCTTCTTAAAACCCGATAATAAAATGGTTTACTTTACACACAATCATAAATTTAAATGCAACCTTTAAATGTAAAGTGAGCTTTAAAGTTACAGGTTACTTGAGAAAACGGCCCCTAATAGTAAATTTTATCAATCACATGGCCAAAGCTGGTTTCCGGCAAAAACTTTTATCGGATTAAAATAGTTATTTTTTAAAAGCAAAGTAGCTGTTAATATCATAACAGTACAAATCAATTTAGCATCCTTAACTTCATTAACTAAAAAAGGAGGCGAATAACAACACAAGTAGAAAACAACAGAAAATGTATATTATACAACTGGAATATGAAACCAGAGCACCTTGGCTAAATGAAGAAAAAGGTTCCCTATCTTTGAAAAACTGTATAAATCAAAATGTTTGACCCTGCTGCTAATACCTATTGATGTGTCTTGGGTGTATCTAAGAAAAAACGTAGGTGATATGTAAAAAAATTTATTTTCAAATTCACTTTTGGATTAACGATGAGACATTCTTCTAGAAGTACTTATATGAAATAAAATAGAACAAATTTCTTTGAAAGCCAGGAAAAGCCTCCATTTGAAGAGGCATTGAAGAAGCTTTGCTTTGTTGTCATATTGAAGAATGATCAATCCTGAAGGAAGCTAGTGAAAAACGCCATTTTTATTTTTTATTTTTAGGAGCCCTTTTTTCAAACTAAAAGAAAAATCGGTTTATTAAAAAGACAAGATTAATAAAACAAAAGCACTCAAATAAATTTAATTTTTAACGCTATAAACACTGGTTACGGTCTCCTTAATTCAAATATTTACATTAGACATGAAAAAACCAATCGCAAAAACTTGGACTATAGTGAAGAATTTAGGCGGCCGCTATGTTGTAGTGGTTAGAAGTGCGCATTACCGTTTCATAGGGCCTGGGATCGAGGCCAGTTTCAGACTAATATCAAAAACAATAGAAACTAAAAATAAAGGAAAGAGAAGAAAGATAGGCATTGCAAATTACTCCATGCAGCCTTGGCTTTTAAACCGATTAATATTGTACTCAAAGCGACAAGTGCTTCATCTACCAAATCTATGAAGAACTTGTTGGCCACAAGTTTTCTTGGAAGCCGTAATAGCGTCTCCCTCACGGCGGTGTTCATCTAGGCACTTCATTCAAATGCTATTGCGACGAAATCATTCTACAGCCTCACATATTACCACATATCCAACTCCTTAGAGCTTTAGAACGCTTTTTTGAGGCATTGTTAAAATTGCATGCCATTTATAGAAAAAGTCTTTAGAATAAGTGAGCTGTAATGAATTTGAATTTGAATTTTTCTTAACTTACATAAATTCGTGCGGAAATCGAAACAATTATTTGCTGAGAAAACAAAAGTAAAGGAAAAGCAGTTATACACATTCAATGTTTCGCTTTCTTGGTGGTGATTTTTTCTTTGATTTTGTGTGCTTGACTGGCAGCGGGGCGTATGAGTGACGGGCTGTAGCGACCTCAACGTAATCATTTCAATTATGCAAGCAAAAACGCAAAGTAACAGAAATAAAAACCAAGAATATAAAGAATTCAAATAAATATACGACTTTTATGCCAACAGCATAGTTACATATATAAATAGGGAAATACGAATAATTGTGTGTGTGTGTGAGTGCGTAAGTGCAAATATGATGCATACAGAGTGGTTAGCCTTCGTTTCCTTGAGAAAACATAAATTATGTGCGAGTTATTTATGTATGCATATTAGGATGCCTCACCAAAACAAAATTGCGGTTTTTTTATCGGAAATATAAAATTTTAATATTTCCTTTAAAATATTTCTGCATAACATTTATGTATGCTGAGCCGATTTGAAAAT